GCCTCACATATTTCATAAACACTCTCCTCTCTGGCTGGTGGGAACTTGAACACTTCCCAGTTCTGTGGAATCTTTAGGAATAGTTCAGCTTATAGCTTCCTGGTAATTGGTCTTTCCCTGGAAATTGTTCTTTGCCTGGTCTGATGGGGCTTCACTCCATGCGTGTGCGGACTGGTATTCAATTAAACATTCAAGGAGACCCCTGTGCTATTTCTGGAGTTCTTTCTCTTTCCCTCATCTTCAGTACCATGCTGTACAAATTCCTAGGGGCTTCAGTTTCTCTGAAGTTTGATCTCTGTTCAACTCAGTGAGACTACCAGGCTCTGTTTTTTCCCTCCCTGTGCCATAGTCCAGAAATTGCCTGCAGTTGGAAACCTAGGGAGATCTCGAGACTTACCTCATTTGTTTCTTTTTCCTCAGAGATCATAGGGGGCATTAGTATAATAATCTGTTCCTTGAGAAAGTGTCAGGAAAAACAAACCAAAAAATTTGCAAATTTAATTTTCTGTAATGGACAGTTTACCATTATTTGTAACATTTTCCCCAAGTTGCTAACAAAATTTAATAGACCTGTTTACAAAATAGGAGAAATTGATGGGAAAACAGTTTTGGGAACTTCAAAGTCTATAAAGCATCCTTACTATATTTTACTCTGGTTACAAAAGTTTATCATAATACTAATATGCTTAATGCCATTTTAAAGTTTCAGAAGGAAAGGGGGCTTTATATTATTGTTTTCCTTTAATGATCTTCTGATTTTAAAAACAGAGATAGGCAATAAAACTGGTGAAGGTGGGATATACTTAGAAAGATTATGGTGCATTTAGTCAAAGTAGCTGAGATTATGTGGAATTAGGTGGGCCAAAGCTTGGACTTTGAATGCAAAATATTTAAAGTTCAGAAGAAGAAAGGAGTCAAAGAAGTAAATTTTTGTTACTTAAAAAAAAGAGGGGGAGAAGTTTGAAAGAAAATAAAAACATTAAGACCTTAGGCAGAAATAGAAACGTAAGGAACAGAGCAATTCTGAGTAAGAAGAAGAAAGGAGATGAAGCTTGCACAGATGTTGGCATTTCTGCTTTCTGTGTTGAATAAAGCGGAGATGGGGTGGGTTACAAACTTGCCAAAGATCTCTAATATGTTTATATCCCAAAGCCCTCGGCTTTCAAAATGTTGTCACTTTAAATTTAAATACAAAAGTGAACTAGTTGCTAAGGTGGAGCTTCTTCTTGGCCTTCCTTAAAGATTAGATAAGATCCGGAAATTAGCACACTAATTAATTTTATACAAATAAAAGGTTCAGACGGAGTTAAGCACAATTTGAATTCTGAAGTAGTTTTCTCAGAAAATTATAAGATGCTTTTACCTCTATTTATCACACCCTTTAAAAATATATGGTAAAGGGTAAATTTCAGATCAGTCATGTAGAATACAAATTCTGAATTAAAGATGATATTTTACACTGGATTTTAGTTATATCCTTAAAGTAAATATTTCCATTGGGCCACATACATTGTAAAGGTAATTACTCATAATATATTTTAGTTTATGATTTATGAAGTTCTGTGTGTGTGTTGATGTAGACTTGACTTTTGTCAATTGAAAAAGCTCTAATATTTTTATCTTGGGCAAAAATAATATCAACCTTCATTTACATTTATGCGTTTAATTTTAGAAACAAAAACCAAGAAATGCTGCATTCCACAAACAAAGGACTGATACTTGGCATCATGGTGGGAACTACTGGAATCAGCTTGCTTCTTTTATGGTACCATAAGGTTCGTAGACCAAGGACAACAATGAATTTGCCTAAATTCCTTTCTCTGGGTAATACATTTGATTCAGTGACATTGCAAGATGAAACGCATGACAGCCAAGGACCGACAGCAATCTTTCAACGAAGGCAACTTCAGATACTGGAGAAGTTAAATGAATTACTGATAAATATGGAAGAACTCAAAGAGGAAATCAGAGTTCTTAAAGAAGCCGTTCCAAAGCTGGAGGAATATATACAAGGTGAACTTGGAGGGAAGATAACTGTTCATAAGATAAGTCCTCAGCACAGAGCTAGGAAAAGAAGGCTTGCCCCAGTTCAAAGTTCAGCAACGAGTAATAATAGTTCAGAGGAAGCAGAAAGTGAAGGAGGGTAAGTTTCTTTGAGATGTTTCCCATGTTGAATTGATTATTTATTGCATTATTGCTCTTATTTAGGTACTTTTATTAGGCATTCTCGGTCATATATTCTGCAACTAACAAGACATAAAACAGAGTCATTATTTTGGCTTACATTACAATTAAAACCATATTCAATAGAGGTCAATATTTAAGATAGTTTAGACTGCCTTGACGAAAAGAATATAGTGACTTACGAGTGCTAGGTGGCATCAAGTGGGTATTGGATAAGACAGTAATTGTTTGCCAAAATGTGTAACCTGTTTTTCTTTGTGGTCACTATGTGACACCTTATGTAAGAACTGTCGGATAAGTCCTGTCGAATAGAACTTTCCCTGATGATGGAAATTGTCTAAATCTCTGCTGCCCGCTGTGGTAGCCACTAGCCACGTGTGGCTGTTAAACACTTGAAATGTAGCTAGTGCAACTGAGAAACTGAATTTTTAATTTTTTTTAGCCGTATTAATTTAAATTTAAATAGCCACGTGGGACTAACGGCTACCGAAATTGGACAATGCAGACCTGAAAAGATTTGAGAAAGTACAAGTGATTCAGTTTCATTCTTGCGTGGGGTAATCCACTGAATTCTAAAGGCAAAAAGATAAATAATACTTTTTTAGAGAAAACCAAATGATTTATCAATAAAGAAATTGTGCCTGACTAGTGTTTTTGAGGGGTAAATAAGCAAGTAAATAAAGAAGTGCTAGTGAATATGACGTAGCCGGAAATTCTTCAGGGCGGGGACCCTATGTTTTCATCATTGTACTCCTAAAGCCTTGTTGTGCCTAGCACAGGGTAGATGCCAACAAATATTTCTTCAATGATGAGTGATCTGCTAAATTACCATGGAATTGGGAGAAGGGATCTGGAGAGAGGAAACAAAGGATAGGGATGAAAGGGTGATTTCCTAGATAAAGAAATGGAAATGGTTGATCAGTTCTTTAAGTAATTCGAGTCCTAGAGTTGATCTCAATGTCTTTATATGTGAACTGGAGAAATAACCATATGAAAAGTTTTTCAGAGAGGGAAGAGCCGCAAATGACAGACCTAGATAACAGGAGGGTCTTAAAAGTTTGTATTCCTGAACAAAAAAAAAAAGTTGAAGGCTGGTTTTAAAATAGGCAATGGAATGTTTAAGAGGAATCTAAAATAGTTCTAAATAATTCAGAGCTATAACTCAGAAGAGAAACTTGTTATTTAGTAAAGACAAAAATCCTAGCATAACATTGAGCATCACTGAGAGTAATTGAAGACAAATCAATGGTTATCTTGCCTTTATGTAAATCCATGGCATTTTCTCATCAGGAGTCCTGTGTGCAATTTTGGCAATCACATCTTAGAAAGGACGTAATGGAACTTAGGACTAGCCAGAGAAGATCCACTAGGTTGAGAGGGGGATCAGCCCTGGTAAAGGAGTGTAGGCCAAAAGGATGAGTGACTCTTAATCTAAAAAGACCTCGGTTAAATTGAGCACAGGCTTGTTCAGGAAATTCTAAAATTCTGGAAAGAGAGGCAAACTTTGTTAAGTTTAGGACAAATAAAAGGAAGATACTTATGGGACTTAGTTAATTTCAAGTAATGTATAGGCACAAATTGTTTATGTGGGTTCAGGAAGAATTTGTGAAATTTATGAGTAACAGTGACAGATGGCTAATAAGAAAAACTAGACATATGAAAACTTTAAGATTGATGTCAGGTAAGACATCCCCTCCTCTTGCTGCTCCCGGGCATCTTTGTTAGCAATGGAATACTAGAATAGATGTAATCGAGCCCTAAAGCCTTAAACTAGATTACAGTGAATCCCATTTAATAGAATAGATGGAAACTTTTTCCTAGTTAGCTGTATTTTAAAAAAACAAACAGGGGCCGGCCCAGTGGCGCAGTGGTTAAGTGTGCACATTCTGCTGTAGTGGTCCAGGGTTCTCCGGTTTGGATCCCGCATGCTGACATGGCACCGCTTGGCAAACCATGCTGTGGTAGGCGTCCCACATATAAAGTAGAGGAAGATGGGCATGGATGTTAGCTCAGGGCCAGTCTTCCTCAGCAAAAAGAGGAGGATTGGCAGCAGTTAGCTCAGGGCTAATCTTCCTCAAAAAAAAAATTAAAAAAATAAATAAAAGCAAACAAACAGAAGCTTAATTTGTGGGTTTTTTTGAGAGAAAAGATACAGGAAGATTTAAAAGATCTTTCTGAATGGATACCTTGAAACAAACTTCTTAAATAAAAAAATAATTTTTTAAGAACAAGATCTTTGTAAAGTATATTTGTGTAAATTTTAGATTGCCTGTCCTTTTATAACCTCCCATGGGGCAGAATGACTGGTCCTCATAGGATATAGTCATAGCCCATTACCACATTTGAGATGGATGTATCCTTGATACATAGTGTCCTTGATAGCAAAATGAAAAGATCAAAGGACAATTAAATGTTCCACATGTAAAATTTATCTTTTGCAATAGGTATCTAGAGATTTTTACTTCTTTTATTAAAACACTTGTCCGTCACAATTTGCAGATACTATTAGTTTAATACAAGAAAAGAAAAAAAATCTAATTATATCCTGAGTTCTCAAAAACTTGAGTAGATCCATCAGTAGAATGCATTTTCTTTTCTTTTCTTTTTTCTGAGGAAGATTAGCCCTGAGCTAACATCCGCTGCCAGTCCTCCTCTTTTTTTTTCTTTCTTTTTCTTTTTCTTTTTTTTTTGCTAAGGAAGACTGGCCCTGAGCTAACATCCATGCCCATCTTCCTCTATTTTATATGTGGGACGCCTGCCCTAGCGTGGCTTGATGAGCAGTGCGTAGGTCCGTGCCCGAGATCCGAACTGGTGAATCCTGGGCTGCTGAAGCAGAATGTGTGAACCCAACTGCTGTGCCACTGGGCTGGCCCCTAGAATGTGTTTTCTGTAAGCATTGTTAGAATCTTTTGCATGCCTCTCTTAGTGCTCGGTATCATCACAGATTTATGAATTTATGCCTTTTTGGGACTCAGCTAATTTCGTTTAATTATTTGTGGAGGTGATGATGATTGAAGCTCAAATTCTCATGTTGTGGCCTTCCGAGAGCCTGTCAAGGTTCTTCCTTTTCCTTCTTAGCACTAGTGTGAATGTCTTGGAAAGCGTCTTTGCTTCTTGGGAATGTTATATTTTGACTGCTTTTGGTTTTGCCCCTGCTCCAAGACTTGGAATCAGCTATGACTTTGGCCGCATTGGTTCCTTTCAGTGAGAAATGGTACTAAACACCAAAATCTGGGTATACAGGGGGATACTGTTTTTTGGCAGGATGATACCAGAGGCTGTTTTGGCCCCCTGTGGGACAGAGTAAAAGATAAGTAGTTTTAAGTATTTTTAAGGTTATTAGTTCACATTGATGTTTTTAGTTTAAATTTAAGTCCTTCCTTATTTCTGAAAACTTTCTGATTCATTTTCTTTTTCAAGCTGCCCACTTCTCTTTTCTCTGTCATCCTTTACCTGTATTGCTCTATCAAACTGTGGGTTTAAAAAGTGTTGTTTAAATCACAATGTTATATAAAGCTTTGGAATCCTCCCTTTCGAAAGTTAAATCTTATTCCAGTTTAAAGTATACCCCATAATAAATTCATTGTTTTTCCATTTTGTGTGGGCTTTGAGAAGAATGCATGTGTTTTAAAATTAGACAATTCTGTTCGGTAAAGCAGGGTTGCATAGTGACCCTGTGGGCCTTCTTTCTTTTTTCTTGACTTAGGTTTTTTCATTTGTGTTAAGTTCATATGATACCTTCAGATAGTATCAACAGACACAGTACTGATTGTTTGAAAAGAAAAAGAAACCCCACAAATCTACCCCCAAGAGAACACCAGCATAATACCAACCATAATACCTAGTACCTTGTATGATATTACTTTATGCATAATAGAGGAGGGTGATGGAGGCGAGACCACAGACCGAGACAGGCTTTTGAAGTTTTATTTAAAGCTCCATAAACTTTCATTTTCATGAGCCAAAATATAAAATTTGCTTTTTGTGCATTTACATTTTTATTCTTACCATTATTTACTTCTGCCAAGTCGGTTTTAGTATTGAACTTCAATTTTCAAAGCCTTGAGAGAGAGACAAATACAGATATTCATTTTATGGTGATTCTGTGTTCTTTCATGTTGTATTAGTACACATTTGCCCAAAAAGTGTTTTTTCCTCAGATCTTTTTGTAAGAAAATTTTATACATATAATTGAAATCTTCTTTGTATTCCTTTCTCTCAGAGGTAACCATTGTCTTGAAGTTGGTGTGCATTCTTCCTTTGAAAGTTTTAATGTTTCTCCTACATGTGGATGTTTACATAAACAGTGAATAAATGGTCTTCGGTTCTTAAAATCTACATAAATGGCATTATATGGTACATAACATTTTGTAACTTGCTTTTGTATGAAATGTTTTTTGAGATTTTTCCATATCGATATAAGCAAACTTATTTCATTCTTTGCAGTTGCTATGTTGCATTCCATTCTGTGAATATGCCTTAATTTATTGCCCTATTGATGGATGTTTAGGTCAGCATTTTTTTGCTCTTAGAAGTAATGCTTTATTGATCACCTTTCTTCATAATTCCTTAGACACATGTGGAATATTTGGAAAGTATATACTTATAAGTGAAATTGCTGGGTTGACTAAATATATTGTTATTATATATTACTCAATTATTCTTTAGAGTGTTCCAGTTCACAATCCTGTAAGTAGTGTATGAGAATTCTTGTTTTCCCCATACAAATTATTATCTTGTTAGAGTTTTTAATTTTAGCCAATCTGATGGAGATGAAATGGTAACTAATTATTATTTCAGTTTACATTTCCCTGAACACTAATAAGATTGGGCATCTTTTCATAGTTTATTTGCCATTTAGGTCTTATTGTCTATGAATTCCTTTAAAAAACAAAAACTAAAGGAAGGATAACATTAACAGTTGAAATCTCCTTTATTCATTCAATGAGAGTGTCTTCCCTTTGCTAGGCACTGTACAGGCTCTCCAGATATATAGCAGGGAACAAAGTCTCACAAGTCAAAACAGATTTTATTTTTAAATGTAACAGAATGTTAAAGAGAGATGCTCTCAGTCTCAGTTTTAACTAGAGCCCCAAAGGCCAAGAACAAAGCATTAAGTGCCAAGTACCCTCAAATCCTAGAGCCAAGTGCTAGACCCTCCTGGGCAGGACTTGCTAAGAGATGAAAGCCACTGCTAGCATGCGCAGTCACCCATTTACAGCCTATGGAAGGAAGCGGCCGAAGGGCTGAGAGAAGCATTTCTTCGGGGAAAGTTTTCATGTGCTGGGCATCCTACAAGTATGTGTATGATGCTGAATGCTGTAGGAATGGATGACGTTGCTCAGGCAGAATGTGTAGCATGGGAAGACAGAAGAGGATGGAATACAGAGCCTTTTGGAACCAGTACTGAGGGAATGGGCAGAAGTGGATGAACCCGCAAAACAAAGACTGAAGACTGGTCAAAGAAGTGGGAAAAGAACCAGAAGAGAAAGCTGTCATAGAAACTGAGAGAGGACAAGGTGTCAAGAACAGTGGAGAAGGCCGCAGGTTTTGAATCATTCTGACGCAAGTAGGATTCCTGGCTCAGCTTCTAACTGGCTATGTAACTCCACTTCTCCACTTTAAGATGAATCCATTTAGGAGGGATAAGGCCAACATGTGTATGAAATACCTGCTGAATTCAGACTTTACCTCCCAAGGTGGGTACTGAAGTATAAAACTCACTCAATTCTCTCCAAGTGCCCTTTTCAGCCTACCCTGACTAAGGAAGAGTACGTGAGTTCCGACATACTGTGTCACTGCTTACAAGATGAACATTTTTTCACATTTTAACATCTCCTAAATCATGATGTGTCTTACTACCAATTAATAGGATCATATCACTGCATCATTGTTTAACTTGCAATGTTTTCTCCCCTTTCTTATAACTGATGGTGTTTTTGATTCTTTGAAATACAGGGTTGAAATAGGTACCTTTGTGGGTGCGAGGGCCAGAAGTTGAAAGAGTTCCTACCTTGTAATCCTGGTTTTCTCAGGAACGAAGGACTGTAGGTCACCTTGTAAAGTGGAGGTGGATGTACACTGAGATGTTTGAGGGACTTCTCTTTTCCCTATACCACCACCCTTCCCATCCTCTGTCAATTTCCAAGTCTTAGGGCTTTGACTTCCTTAAGAGTCTGCACTAATATGTTTACAGGGTATCTCCAGTGCTTAGCACAGTGTCTGGCACATTATAAAAGATCATTAAATATTTACGTTAATTAATGAATGAACATATGAACAAAGAAAGTTTGGAACAGCAGTTGTGGGGAGTGGAAGAGGGGGTGAACTAGAAACAAGATAAGGATTACCCTGCAGACTGTTGCCTCAATTGAGTTTCAAGACTGTCTACCAGTATGCACCATTGCATGATTTTTTCACTAATTCTTAGCATTCATATAAGAGAATAGAGAAGTCAGAGGACTGAATTAATGCAAATTAGGAGATTTGCAGGGTGAGTTTGAGAGAGAGGCCAAAAGCTGAGGATGTTGAGAATGCAGATGAGGAACAAGTCATCTAATGTTGCTGGCACACATCTGTACTTACTCGTTGACCTAAAATATATGCTTTTCTGTTTCTATTGTTTTTAAAACTACTTCCAGTTTGTTATTGGATCAGTTCAAACCCTTGACTGTGTACTGTTTCTTAATCTTTACTAGACTGCATCTGGTAACTACTGTCTAGTGAACTATATTACCCGTACTAGTGTACAATTTCTTTTCCTTTCAAATGTCTAGGCAGATCTGCATTTTCCACCCCATACCCTAGGTGTGCACACCCAAACACTTTTTTTAAAAGTGAATTAATTTTACTAACTTCTTTCTTTCAAAATGAGCTAATAGTGAATAAGGAAGTTGTAGAAATAGCCTGTGAAATTATTTGATGATCCCCAAGCAATATTTTTTCCACCTTTCAAGTCACATACAGATAGCTATGCTGTCTGAGTAACAAACTACAAACAGCAAACCTCTGTGGATAGAGTTTAATATTGCAATGAAAGAAAACGTAACAGAGTTAACCTGGTGCTAATTTAGCGACGAACATTATTATTTTGCATAATTAAGTATATTTGTAAGCCGCTTGTACAAATACTATAATTAATGTAATAGATTGAATAATTTACATTCACTACACTCAGACTAGTTAAAGATGTAACTGTATGTTACTCTGTAACTGAATTTGGAGTAGCTCATTATCTCTGTTCTGGATAATGTGGGAAAACTTTGAATTTGCCCGTTCAAGTTAACTCAGTCAATTCTAGTTTAGAGCTAGTTTTTTTTGTGTTAAAGATTCAGTCACATTCAGGGTTCTCCCTTCTGCTCCCCTCTTACCTCTCCCCACGTGTAATCTAGGTTCCTGAAGGGACATATCATCTAGGCATCAAGAGAAGGGACTTTCAGTCCTGAATCATTTCCTGTCCTTACTGGCCTCCAGCTCAGATAGGAAGCTGCCGTGAGGTACCTCAGAAGCCCCTTTTAACCTTCACTCTGGGAGTTGTTCATTACCCAGGTGTTCTAGAACAGCTGCTCAAAGTTTGGTCTGTGGACCAGCAGCATCAACCTCCCATCCAGTCTGGGAGCTTGATGGAAATGCACATTCTGAAGACCTAGTGAATCAGAATCTCTGGGAGCAGTGCCCAGGAATTTGCATTTTAACATGCTTTCCTGGTGACTCTGTTGTACCCTAAAGTTTGAGAAGCTTTGTTCTAGAAGATTTTCTAAACTTCAGCTGAGATATCATGGTGAAATTGTAGTTTTAATTAGTGGTAATTATGGTTACAGGCAAACAAGATGTTCGTATTGAGGTATATAACGATGGAGTATTGGTCTTGGTGGGAACAGAGTGGCTAAGGTTAAAAAAAAAAAAGGAGCAGTTGTAGTGGCCATAGGACATGATGAATGCAGAAAGTGCCTGGAATCATGGAATTAGTAGAATAAAGAGAGTTGGGAATGGATTGAAAGAGAAGCATGTTTTAGATGCCTGCCATTGTGAGATTTTATTAACCTCTTTTGGGCTTGGTCTAATTATGGTTTTCTTAAAAATAAGCCCTCTCATTGCCCTTGTGGGACCTGAGTCAAGGAGAACCAACACAAATATGCTGTATTCATACTGCTTGATTTGCTGTGAGTGATAAAGTCCTCTGTGACCCCAAAATTGTGTCTTCTACTAGCATCCATGAAATAGTCACAGATTAATCTATTAGCTTGTATATAGGATAAAATCACATTACAATCTGACAATTATATGGTCAAAATTAGAGAGCTTTAGGCCTCTGAAAAGGAGTGTGTTCAAAGGTTTCCCAAAGAAGATTGTTAGGAAGCAGACAAAAACAGGAAGTTGTAGTAGGGTATTTAGGATATTGAGAAGTAAAAAAATATATATTTGAGGAGGTTTTTATGTCGTAAGTGACTATACACATACACCTATTATATGGACAGTGCTTGAGGTTGGTTTGGAAAAGGAGAGGGCAATATTTCTTTTCTAATGACTCTGTTAACCTTACCTTTAAATGAGTGTACGTTGTTTCAGGAGATTATACACAGTGGTACAGTAGATCTCCATAATCTGTGCATGTGGCCCACACAATCAGATGGCACTCTTTACTGCTAAGGTAGATGAAGCATGTTTCATTTTGGGGGACAGTGACATTTGCTATTTAGGCTTTTTTTTCCATCTCAATATATCTTTGGACCAAAGTCTGTAATAGTCACTTTTCCCTATCACTGGAGGATATAAAAACTTGGCGTAAAGAGTGTTCAAATAAAAGAAGAATGAGTTAGTAGGCCAGGTGTGTGGAGGGCAGCCAGTGAAAGAGACAGTCCCAGGTAAAGGACTGTGCAGATCTCATATATGTTATTGCCTACATCTTCCTGTTTTCTTGTCCCTTGATTTGTTGGCTGACTCCTTGAGCATAATGAAGTTAGAATGTACATTCCACAGTCCTGTGATCTGCAGCTTTTCAGAAGGGCAAGCCCCAGAACAATTTTATTCTAAACTGATGTCATTAGATTCTAGAGTCTGCTGTCATCAGATTCTGTGTCATTGCCATGTTAATTCCACGTGCAGCTTCAGCATTCAGTCTTCTGACCTGTTCCACCTGCACAGGGCGTTTTATGACTTAAGGATGATGGCTTAGAAAGGAACGGACAGATTTACTTTGGATTAAATTCAATATGGGAAAATGCTTAAGGTAAGCCTTTAAAAAGAGAAAGCAGTCCTCTATGTTTCGTGTGCTAAAGAACATTGAAAACTGAGCTTTAATGCTTCCTTTAGTTTCCCACAGTAACTGAATATCTGGAATATAGAGATATTTATCTGAAATATTTTCTCCAGAGACCTTTAGCATCATCCATGGTTAGTATTTTAAAATGCATTAGTCAACAGGGAATAAATTCATTCTGTTTAACTCCTTTAAATATAGGAGTTTAATAGTCTCAAACAGATATTATGACTTACTATATTTAAAACAGCAAGTTCTACCTTTTCCTTCAAGGGCTCCTTTAGTTCTAGTGCCCTGGCGTGTGTTTCCCCTGATCTTTTTTTCTGCCCGCTTCCCTGAATCTTTCAACGTATCTTCCCAAGGTTTAATAGACTGGGCAGGTCCTGTGTAGGTAGTTAGAGAGAATCTTTTAGACTTAGGCATTCTTTTGGGTGTATCTGTGTGACCATCAACTTCAGCTGCCATGGCTTTTTTATTCCCTGTTCTCTCCATATTGATAAGGTGAATATTATTCTTCAAGAGGCTTGGCAGGTTTCCACCTCTGCTCCCTGTTGTTTTCCCTCATTTGACACTTTTCTCACTCTAGCTGCTACAAAGAGGACCAGAGCTTGCAACCAAATCATCCTGCGGATCAAATTACTTCAGATCCCCTGCACCCTGAAGGCTCTTCTGTTACCAAATGGACTGTATCTCTTGATGTTAAAGCAACTCGTCCTTCTGCAATACGCAAAGTCCTTTCACCTAGAGGAAATAGAAAGTTTTCTTCTCCATCAAATACATCTACTCCCTCATCTTTCTCTGGAAGAAGACGTTCTTTATTTACTCAATTTCAGAAAAGCAATGCTTCCCTTCATCATCAACAAAGTAGAGCCAACTTTGATGCTCAAGAAAGAAGTTTCAGTGATTTAAAATCTGCCTCAGACCATTTTGGTTTTAGATCCCGAAGACCTTTCTCTGCCCCTAGACTAAGTATAGTGACCTGTTATGAGAGTGCCACTTTTTTTGATCTTCGATCAAGTAATGAGAGCATTTTTAATCCAGATGAAATTGAAGTGATTTCCAAAAACTCAAGTATTGCTAATGCTGAAAAATATATAAACTCTTTTTCTCCTGAATATAACTTTAAACATTTTATGAATTTTGAAACAAAAGATAATTCCACCTATCAGAACACTGTTAATAAAGACACCTCCCAACAAAGTGCGGCAAGCATCCTCTCTCTTCCAACTGTTGTTTCCCATTCCCATCAACAAAGTGGATGTGCTGTTGATAGTCAAGAAAGAGAGCAGTTAAGGAAAGCTTCCCTTCATCCTGCTCCTAAAAGGCACGGTACAAATCATCCTCTCCCTGTGATCAGCAGCATCCCTCTCAAAGTGTGACTTCCCCTGTTCTCCATGTTGGATTTTCCTCGTTTTATAGAAATACTTGTAGCTTTACCCCAACTTAAAATGAAGTTACCTCAGATCCCTTTGAACATGAAAACATGTTCAACATTCTCATCTCAAGATGAAGACAGATCTTCACCTTTTGAAATTCCTAAGATAAGGTCAATTCAGACTTTACCCGCTCTCAGAAGGACAGCTCAAATCAGTTTTCCCACCAGGCACACTCTAGAGTATGTAGAGATAACTGCTCAGTTCTCATAGAAGTACCTTCCCTTACGAAGCTTCACTGCATTTTCTGAGAAAGATCTCTACGTTGCAGTCTAAATTTAACTTTAATTGCTGTATTTTTTGAAACATGGTTAACATTATTTGAATATGGAAGTCAAAGATTATTCATCTGTTTCAGGCTTTTAACAGATTTACTGCTTATAGATTGACCAGTACTAACTTTCTGAGTGACTATTCTAATACTTATGTGGTCTGAAAATAACAGCAAGCTTTGATATATTCTTCTAAATGGTGTTGCATTCTTTGAGAGTTCAATATCTTCTTTTATCCTACTCTGATCATTAGACATAGTATTCCTGTATGATCTACAGAGCTATATTCGTCAATTCACAAATTTTCATTTATATTAACCTTGCTAGCTATATTTCTCATGCCAGACATCCCACTGACAGTTGATGTTTTTACTAATGCAAGGGTCAAATCGTAAGTCAGAACATATTGTGGTGGAAATATGTAGAATATATTGAAACCAGATATTTTAACTAAATAATTTTAATATACATTTGTGTATGCATATATCTGGGAATTCAGAGAACTCTGAAATCAGAGATAAAAGTGTCTATATTAGTCTATTTTATTTTTAAAAGTGAATATTTGTCAGATTTTTTCCAAAATTTTTATTTAAAAAAGTGTCTCTAAAAATTTTGACTATTTTTCACATTTTTTCCATTATGTTAAAGTTTGTAAATATATATCAGAATAACTAATGAATGGAAACTGCATATAGGCAATTAAAAATACTTAAGTTATACTATAATTAGTCTTTGTAGAGGAAAGGAATTTGCATTATTTTTAGTTATTTGTCATAATAAAATGCCCCCTAAATCTCTATTATTGGGCTAAGATCTTATTTTTACTCTTTTGGTTTTCTCCTCTTTTTAGCTTGTATCTTTAAAAAATTTTTTTTCTATTTTAGTTTTTTATTTGTAGTGAAATACACATCACATAAAATTTACCACCTTAACCATTTTTAAGTTCACTGGCATTAAGTACATTCATGAATATCATTTTGCAACCATAATCACCATCCATCTCCAGAACTCTTTTCATCTTGCAAAAGTGAAATTTGGCACCCGTTAAACGTTAACTCCCCATCCGCCTCTCCTCCCAGCCTCTGGCAATTTCGATTCCTCTAGGTACCTTATGTAAGTGGAATTATACAGTACCTTGTCTTTTTGTGACTGGCTTATTTCACTTAGCATAATGTCTTCAAGGTTCATTCATGTTGTAGCATGTGTCAGAATTTCCTTCTTTTTAAAGGCTAAACAGTATTCCATTATACATGTACACCACATTTTATTTATGCATTCATCTGTTAATGGGCATTTTCGTTACTTCTACCTTTTGGCTATTGTGAATAATGCTCCTATGAACATGGGTGTACAACTATCTCTTTGAGATCCTGCTTTCAATTCTTTTGATTATATACTGAGAAATGGAATTACTGGATCCTATGGTAATTCTATTTTTATTTTTTTGAGGAACTGCCATAATTTTTCCATAGTAGCTGCACCATTTTACATTCCTCCAAAAGTGCACAAAGATTCCAATTTCTCCACATCCTTGCCAATACTGTTTATTTTCTGGTTTTTTGATAGTAATTATCCTAATGGGTGTGAGGTGGTATCTCATTGTGGTTTTGATTTATATTTCCCTAATGATTGGTAACAATGAGCGTTTTTTCATCTGCTTATTGGCCATTTATATATCTTCTTTGGAGAAATGTCTATTCAAGCCCTTTGCCCATTTTTTAATCTGGTTGTTTGTTTTTTTGTTGAGTTGTTGGAGTTTGTGTATATTCTGGATATTAACCCTTTATTAGATGTATATTTACAAGTATTTTCTTCCATTGTGTCGGTTGCCTTTTTACTCTGTTGATTGTGTCCTTTGATGCACAGAAGTTTTTGATCTTGGTTTCCAGTTTATCTGTTTTTTCTTTTGTTGCCTGTGCTTTTGGTGTCATATTCAAGAAATCATTGCCAAGTACAATGTCATGAAGCTTTTCCCTTGTGTTTTCTTCTAAGAGTTTTATAGCTTTAGATTTTACATTTAGGTCTTTGATCCATTTTGGGTTAATTTTTATATAGAATATAAGGTAAGGGTCCAATGTCATTCTTTTGCATGTGACTATCCAGTTTTCCCAGCACCATTTGTTGGAGAGACTGTCCTTTCTCCAGGAAATAGTCTTGGCACCCTTGTCAAAAATCATTTGACCATATGTGTGAGAGTTTACTTCTGGGCACTCTGTTCTCTTCCATTGATGTATATGTCTGACTTTATGCCAGTACACACTGTTTTGATTACTGTAGATTTGTAATAAGTTTTAAAATCAGGAAGTATGAGGGCTCCAACTTTGTCCTTCTTTTTCAAGATTCTTTTGGCTACTCAGGGTTCCTTGAGATTCCCTATCACTCTTTGGGTGGATTTTTCTGTCTCTACAAAAAATTTTGTTGAGATTTTGAGAGTGACTGCATTGAATCTATAGATTGCTTTGGGTATTGACATCTTGATAATGTTAATCCCATGACATAGGACTTTGATTTGTGTCTTCTTTAATTTTTTCAGCAATTGTTTTATAGTTTTCAGTGTGCAAACCTTTCACCTCTTTGGTTAAGTTTATTCCTAAGTATTTTATTCTTTTTGATGCTATTATAAATAGAGTTGTTTTCTTTTCACATTGCTCATTGTTAATGTACAGAAGCACAGCTGATTTTTGCAAGTTGATTTTATATCCCGCAACTTTGCTGAACTTGTTATTAATTTTTACAGGATTTCTTTGTGAAATCTTTAGAGTTTTCTACATATAAGATCATTTTACTTCTTTCTTTCCTGTTTGAATGCCTTTTGTTTCTTTTTCTTGCCTAATTGCTCTGGCTAGGACTTCCAGTACTGTGTTGAATAGAAGTGGCAAAAGCAGGCACTCTTGTCTTGTTCCTGATATTAGAGGAAAAGCTTTCACTCTTTCACCATTGAGTATGATATTAGCTATGGGCTTTTTGTATACAGCCTTTATTATGCTGAGAAAATTTCCTTCTGTTCCTAGTTTGTCACACATTTTCATCATGAAAGGGTGTTGAATTTTGTCAAGTGCTTTTTTCTGTAACAATTGAGATGATCTTGAGGGGTTTTTTCCCCCTTCATTCTGTTAATGTGTTGTATTACATTGATTGATTTTCATGTTTTGAACCATCCTTGCATTCCCAGAATAAATCCCATTTGGTCATGGTGTATAATCATTTTAATGTGCTTTCAAATTCTGTTTGAATTCTGCTAGTATTTTATTGAGGATTTTTGAGTCAATATTCATCAAGGATATTGGTGTAATTTCCTTTTCTTGTAGTGTATTTGTATGGCTTTGATGTCAAGGTAATGATGGCCTCAGAGTAAGTTAAGAAGTGTTCTTTCTCTTCAGTTTTTTGGAGTTTGAGTAGTACTGGTGTTAATTCTTCTTTAGATGTTTGATAGCATTCACCAGTGAAGCCTTGTTATGGTCCTGGACTTTCCAGTCTTCTTACTAGTTACCGATCTGTTCAGATTTTCTATTTCTTCCTGATTCAGTCTTGGTAGGTTGTGTGTTTCTGGGAATTTGTCCATTTCATCTAGGTTATCCAATTTGTTGGCATACTATCCTTCATAGTACTCTTCTAATCCTTTTTATTTCTGTGAAATTGGTAGTGATATCTCCTCTTTCATTTCTGATTTTAGTTATTTGAGTCTTCTGTCCTTTTTTCTTAATCTAGCTGAAAGTTTATCAATTTTATTCATCTTTTTGAAGAACCAACTTTTGGTTTCATTGATTTTCTCTATTGTTTTTCTGTTCTCTATTATGTTTGTTTCTGCTCTAGTTTTTATTATTTCCTCTCTTCTGCTAGCTTTGAGTTTAGTTTGCTTTTCTTTTTTCTAGTTCTTTAAGGCGTAAATTTAGGTTGTTGATTTGAGGCCTTTCTTTTTAGTGTAAGCATTTATAGCTATAAATTTTCCCCTTAGCACTGCTTTCGCTGCATCTCCTAAGTTTTGGTATGTTGTGTTTTTGTTTTCATTTGACTCAAGATATTTTCTAATTTCCCTTGTGATTTCGTTTTTGACCTATTGGGTATTTAAGAATGTGGTGTTTAATTTCCACATATTTCTGGATTTTTCATTTTATCTTCTGCTGTTGATTCCTAGTTTTATTTCATTGTAAGCAGAAAAGATGCAGCCAGACCTTGTTTTGCTGTCTTTGCTTTATAGTGCTTCACAGATACTGAATTTTTTACAAGACCCTCCACCAGCAAAAAGATTATAACTTGCTGAAGCCTCAGCTGATGGTTAGCATTTTTTAGCAATAAAATATTTTTAAATTAATGCATGTACATTGTTTTTTTAGACATATTGTTACTGCATACTTAATAGCCTACAGGATAGTGTGGACATAACTTTTATATGCACAGAGAAACCAAAATATTCATGTGATTCACTTTATTGTAATATTCACTTTATTGCAGTGGTCTAGAACTGAACCCATGATGTCTCTGAGGTATTCCTGTACTTTGTATAATTTCCGTCTTTTAAAATTCAGTAAGACTTGTTTTGTGGCCTACCATGTGATCTATCCTGGAGATGTTCCAAGTGCACTTGAGAAGAGTATGCTATTGTTGAGTGGAGTATTCTG